CAGTAAACTTAATTAAGAGTTACGGCTCCCTTATATTTGCAAATTTTGTTTCCATTTTTTCATCATTTGTGTTGTATGGAACACACACAATATCGTGTTTGCTACTGCCTTACGAGCGCTGGCAATTATTGGGATATAAATATGCAGGCTGTGGATATTAAACAAGTTATATTATAGTGCCTCTAACGTTCTTCTTAAAAATTGTCGCCCATATTTCAACATTACTAACGAATTCATGTTAAAATATGCTCCGCGCTGCCGAATTATCCTTCAAAACTATAATTTCTGCGCGTATAAATTGCGTCGCCGGGGGCATTAAGCAAGCAACGTTATCAATACTTTGCAACGGTGGTGGGTGGAGGGGAGGGTTGGGGGGAAGGGACGGGGTGTACCACTCTGGGCAATTTGTCTGGTGTTTTCCGACACTAGTGATCAGATGAATGTCAGAAATGTTGGGCTGGGCTGGAGGAGCAGGAGGAGGAGGAGAGTCTTTGAGCCGCCCCGCGGGCCGTGGTCTTCGCGTCGGGGCTATTTGTGCGCACTCGAGCTCATTTGCTTACATTAGGAATGCATAAGCTCCACTCAAATTGCTGTCTAATTATACGTAATAACGTGGCAAAGATTCCCTCAAGGCGGGAGGATCTTGCAGAAGGAAGAGTGTAAGAGTCGGAGGGCGGTAGGGAGGGTTGGAGGGATCGTGGTCGGGGCTCAAGGGAAGATCTTACTGGTACCCGGTTGGCCAGAGGAACCAGTTTGGGTACTGTCGGCCGTAAGTTACCTTGGTTTATTATGGGTTCTACAAGGCCTTTATACCCCGGCTCTCTCTCTCTCTCTCTCTCTCTCTCTCTCTCTCTCTCTCTCTCTCTCTCTCTCTCTCTCTCTCTCTCTCTCTCTCTCTCTCTCTCTCTCTCTCTCTCTCTCTCTCTCTCTCTCTCTCTCTCTCTCTCTCTCTCTCTCTCTCTCTCTCTCTCTCTCTCTCTCTCTCTCTCTCTCTCTCTCTCTCTCTCTCTCTCTCTCTCTCTCTTCTCTCTCTCTCTCTCTCTCTCTCTCTCTTCTCTCTCTCTCTCTCCTCTCTCTCTCTCTCTCTCTCTCTCTCTCTCTCTCTCTCTCTCTCTCTCTCTCTCTCTCTCTCTCTCTCTCTCTCTCTCTCTCTCTCTCTCTCTCCTCTCTCTCTCTCTCTCTCTCTCTCTCTCTCTCTCTCTCTCTCTCTCTCTCTCTCTCTCTCTCTCTCTCTCTCTCTCTCTCTCTCTCTCTCTCTCTCTCTCTCTCTCTCTCTCTCTCTCTCTCTCTCTCTCTCTCTCTCTCTCTCTCTCTCTCTTTCTCTCTCTCTTGCCTCTCTCTCTCTTGCTCTCTCTCTCCCTCTCTCTTGCTCTCTCTCTCTCTCTTGCTCTCTCTCTCTCTTGCTCTCTCTCTCCCTCTCTCTTGCTCTCTCTCTCTCTCTCTCTTGCTCTCTCTCTCCCTCTCTCTTGCTCTCTCTCTTGCTCTCTCTCGGATGTTTTGCGATAAATGTGATGCTCCTCATGATCTTTCGTTATACGGTATAAACGATTGTGGAGGATCTGTCGTGGAGAGGAGAGGAATCTGGCGATATTTTTTACTGTGGTAATAGTGATCCTCCAGCACGATCTTGCGTGGGCAAAGCTACGTTAGACAATCTTTCGCGGCGTGAACGACCTTCCAACCACACGATCTTACGCGATAACCGCGATCCTCCAGGTGATGATGTGTTTAGTAGCGACGATTCAGATGCTCTTTGGGGAAAAGCGCAAGGAAGCTATACTGGATAATTTTTTGGAGGTTGGTGGTATCCCCAGACACAATTTTTTTTTGCGACAAATGCGGTGTTTTTCCACCGACTGTTTTTGTTGAGGCCTGCTAGACAGCCATTTACTGTAAGATCACGTTCTGTATAGGACCTCACGTAGTAAAATGTGAGACACTTGATCTGTTTCTCGGTAAGAACGACTTTCACAGGCGATATACAACAACAAGAGGCCCTCCTCCTGACCTTACTGAAGCAGAATATACCAACGGACCATTCCCCGTGTCCCTTGTTCACACAACGAGGAAACTTTATCAACAATATGCTCTATTAGTTTTTTACTGCTTGTACAAGATTGTGTTAGGGCCGAGTCTATTGCCTTGAGTGGGTCTTGGCGCAGATAAAGTGTCCCGACAGAGAGCGTCGCTGGTACTCAACACTATTACGACTTCCAGGAGTCTGGAGCGTCTTGCAGGAGGCTTATGATATTTCTCAAGCCTTGTGCAACTTCAAGCAGTACTGCAGGAGGCTTATGATGCTTTCAGGTCTTGTCCAACTTCCAGTAGTATTGCAGGAGGCTTATGACGTTCTAGGTCTTGCACAACTTACAACTTACATTAATAATGCAGGAGGCTTATGATGTTTCCAGGTCCTCTGCTGCTTCCTCTAGTCTTGTACGTCTTGCAGGAGTCTTATGCTGTTTTCAGTCGGTTTATGAGACTTCCAGGTGTGTTGACATCAGGAGACCCAACTTTCCAGGTACGGTCGCCTGGAAACCTATTTTCCCGGAAGTGGTTTGCATTTTACTATTTTCAGGAGGTATTGTGCCTCTATGAGGTATTTTGCTACTCTCAGCAATTCTAATGCTATTTCCAGAGGCGTTTCATATCTTGCAGGTGGTGTAGTTTATTTCAAGAAATATATATTAACTTAATACATATTGTCATATTCCTGATTGTTTGAACCACTTCAGTTATTCCAGGAGATATTTAGACCGCCTAAATCCTTGTACCGCTTACAGGATTTATGTTCTCTGCGGTTTCCCACAATGAACGTTCTTCGTTTGTGTCTTGTATTGTAAGACATTTGTAATTACTGGTAGCTGTTATTTTGGTTTTATATTTTAATGTGGATGTCATATTATATAAAACCTGTCTTGGGGTAACCTTGTGGTTGATCCGAGGATGAACCTCCCCACGGCCCGATCTCTAATCAGGCTACTGGTTGGGGGACTGGTCAACCAGGCTGTCAGATGCAGCTGCTTGCAGTCTGACGTATGAATCACAGCCCGGTTGATCAGGTAACCTTTGGAGGTGTTTATACAGTGTTATCCTGGGGGGTTTTGCAATTTTTGAACACCCAGTTTCTTTTTATGTGAAGTAGGAGGGTAATGCCTTTACCGGACTTGAGTGTACTAGTGTCTGGATTGGGGTGCATATATATATATATATATATATATATATATATATATATATATATATATATACTATAGACACATCACAAATAATCAACATATTACGGGACATTCTGAGTGATAAATATATACATTTCTTCCTTTACATTTCCTAATGATGTGTTTAAATAATTGGTTTCTCCCTCGGTACATTGTTTGCTGTTCCACCACTTGCTTGGAAATTCATCTGCTTCTTCCGTTATCCAACGACTTGGCTTACTTTCTAATATCGGTTCAGTTTCATTTTTTTTACATGCGGTTTACCGGTTCAGTCACGTTTACATGCGGCTTACTGGTTCAATCGTGCGGTTTACCGTCTATGTATTTATTTATCAGATAATCTCTTGTTCTCTGGTCCGGCCAGATATTTACCGGTCTATGGCCATCTGTGTGTGTGTGTGTGTGTGTGTGTGTGTGTGTGTGTGTGTGTGTGTGTGTGTGTGTGTGTGTGTGCGTGTGTGTGTGTGTGTGTGTGTGTGTACTCACCTAATTGTACTCACCTAATTGTGCTTGCGGGGGTTGAGCCCTGGCTCTTTGGTCCCGCCTCTCAACCGTCAATCAACTGGTGTACAGATTCCTGAGCCTATTGGGCTCTATCATATCTACATTTGAAACTGTGAATGGAGTCAGCCTCCACCACATCACTTCCTAATGCATTCCATTTGCTAACTACTCTGACACTGAAAAAATTCTTTCTAACGTCTCTGTGGCTCATTTGGGTACTCAGCTTCCACCTGTGTCCCCTTGTTCGCGTCCCACCAGTGTTGAAAAGTTCGTCCTTGTTTACCCGGTCGATTCCCCTGAGGATTTTGTAGGTTGTGATCATGTCCCCCCTTACTCTTCTGTCTTCCAGTGTCGTGAGGTACATTTCCCGCAGCCTTTCCTCATAACTCATGCCTCTTAGTTCTGGGACTAGTCTAGTAGCATACCTTTGGACTTTTTCCAGCTTCGTCTTGTGCTTGACAAGGTACGGGCTCCATGCTGGGGCCGCATACTCCAGGATTGGTCTTACATATGTGGTGTACAAGATTCTGAATGATTCCTTACACAGGTTCCTGAACGCCGTTCTGATGTTAGCCAGCCTCGCATATGCCGCAGACGTTATTCTCTTTATGTGGGCTTCAGGAGACAGGTTTGGTGTGATATCAACTCCTAGATCTTTCTCTCTGTCTGTTTCATTAAGTACTTCATCTCCTATTCTGTATCCTGTGCCTGGCCTCCTGTTTCCACTGCCTAGTTTCATTACTTTGCATTTACTCGGGTTGAACTTCAACAGCCATTTGTTGGACCATTCACTCAGTCTATCCAGGTCATCTTGTAGCCTCCTACTATCATCCTCTGTTTCAATCCTCCTCATAATTTTTGCATCGTCGGCAAACATTGAGAGGAACGAATCTATACCCTCTGGGAGATCATTTACATATACCAGAAACAGTATAGGTCCAAGGACTGACCCCTGCGGGACTCCACTTGTGTGTGTGTGTGTGCGTGTGTGTGTGTGCGTGCGTGTGCGCGTGTGCGTGTGCGTGCGTGCTAGTTGCTTGCGTATCGGTCTAGACGCCTATTTACCGGAACTGACCTCTGCATAGCAGTCCTGGGTCAGGATTCATCAAGCATTTATGCAACTATTTACGAAACCTATATGTCTTTCCTTAATTATTACGGCTTTGTTTACATTTATTTAATAGTTTACGAGCTTGGAAACTCCACCGTCCAAGGTTATTATTGTTATAAACAACCTCGTGGTGTCTCGAAACTCATAAACTGTTTAATATATATTAACAATCATTTTATTGGTTCATCTCCTAGTAGGTTTTCCTGTCCGACCATCTGTTTTGCTGGTCTAACAACCTGTTTTGCTGGTCTAACAACTTGTTTTGCTGGTCTAACAACCTGTTTTGCTGGTCTAACAACCTGTTTTGCTGGTCTAACAACCTGTTTTGCTGGTCTAACAACCTGTTTTGCTGGTCTAACAACTTCTTTTGCTGGTCTAACAACCTGTTTTGCTGGTCTAACAACTTCTTTTGCTGGTCTAACAACCTGTTTTGCTGGTCTAACAACGTGTTTTGCTGGTCTAGCAACCTGTTTTGCTGGTCTAACAACGTGTTTTGCTGGTCTAACAACTTGTTTTGCTGGTCTAACAACCTGTTTTGCTGGTCTAACAACTTGTTTTGCTGGTCTAACAACCTGTTTTGCTGGTCTAACAACCTGTTTTGTTGGTCTAACAACCTGTTTTGCTGGTCTAACAACTTGTTTTGCTGGTCTAACAACCTGTTTTGCTGGTCTAACAACCTGTTTTGCTGGTCTAACAACCTGTTTTGCTGGTCTAACAACCTGTTTTGCTGGTCTAACAACTTGTTTTGCTGGTCTAACAACCTGTTTTGCTGGTCTAACAACTTCTTTTGCTGGTCTAACAACCTGTTTTGCTGGTCTAGCAACGTGTTTTGCTGGTCTAGCAACCTGTTTTGCTGGTCTAACAACGTGTTTTGCTGGTCTAACAACTTGTTTTGCTGGTCTAACAACCTGTTTTGTTGGTCTAACAACCTGTTTTGCTGGTCTAACAACCTGTTTTGCTGGTCTAACAACCTGTTTTGCTGGTCTAACAACCTGTTTTGCTGGTCTAACAACCTGTTTTGCTGGTCTAACAACCTGTTTTGCTGGTCTAACAACCTGTTTTGCTGGTCTAACAACCTGTTTTGTTGGTCTAACAACCTGTTTTGCTCTCTAGATACTATACCGTTCTAGTCATGCTTATTGCTCAATCACTTGTTTTTCCGGCCCAGTCATCTGTTTACCTGCCAGTCACCTGTTTACCGGTCCAATCACCTGTTTACCGGTCCAATCACCTGTTTACCGGTCCAGTCACCTGTTTACCGGTCCAATCACCTGTTTACCGGTCCAGTCACCTGTTTTTCGGCCCCAGTCATCTGTTTACTGGTTCAGTCACCTGTTTACCTGCCAGTCATCTGTTTGCCGGTCCAGTCACCTGTTTATCGGTCCAGTCACCTGTTTTCCGGTCCCAGTCACCTGTTTACCGGTTCAGTCACCTGTTTACCGGTCCAGTCACCTGTTTACCGGTCCAGTCACCTGTTTACCGGTTCAGTCCCTGTTTACCGGTCCAGTCACCTGTTTACCGGTCTCAGTCACCTGTTTACCGGTCTCAGTCACCTGTTTACCGGTTCAGTCACCTGTTTACCGGTCCAGTCACCTGTTTACCGGTCCAGTCACCTGTTTACCGGTCCAGTCACCTGTTTACCGGTTCAGTCCCTGTTTACCGGTCCAGTCACCTGTTTACCGGTCTCAGTCACCTGTTTACCGGTCCAGTCACCTGTTTACCGGTCCAGTCACCTGTTTTCCGGCCCAGTCACTTGTTTACCGGTCCATCCTCTGGCAGCCAATTTTTTTGCGATCGTCACCTGGTGTGTGAGCGGCGGGCCTCGGACCGTCGCTCCCTCAATCCCTGTGTTTATAACTCGATCATTAATCAAGGAGGAGTTTGAACAAGAGCTGCGTAGTTGTCTCTCCCTCCCCCTCCCGTTCTTCTCTCCCTTCCCTACTTTTCTTCTGTACCTTCATTGGTTTTTCCCCCTTCCTTTCTTCCTTTCCTCCCTCTAGTCCCTCCCTCCCTTCCTCCCTCGCTCTTCCATCTGTTCCTTGTTCTCTTTCACGCCTTATATTTTTATCTTTTACTTTCCTTTCTCACCTCATATGACGTTCTACCTTAACGTTTCCTTTCTATTTGTCTTTTACCCTCCTTTCACTTCCTTGCCTTGTTCCCCTTGTCTATTGTGGTTTGCACCCTTGGGAAGAATTCTAACTTTCCCCTTCATCTATCCACTCCTCGTTTCAATTCCCTCATCCCCCGCCTCTAATCCATTAGCCCTTCCCCATCCCCACTCCTATCAATCCTCCGGTCCATCTGTCCCCCCTGTCGGTTACTCCTCCCTCTGCCTTTATTCCCCAGTCCCATATCCATATCACTTCCCTCAATTCCCCTTCGTCTGTTCCTACCCCTTCCTCTGCCACTCCTGTCTTTAAGTAGGCGCGGGTGATTGGCCACCTAGTCCCTCTTGCGTTTACTCTTATGCTGTATTTCTGCTAAGTAAATAATCTGGTTGGACGTAAATTCGCTTCACCGATCGTAATTTTTGTTTATGTTGGTGAGTGAGAGAGCGTGTGTGTAGTCTGAGTGTGACATCGACGCCATTTTAAGGGCCCCTTCTTTGTGCCACAGGTATAGTTAAGCAGGCAGATGCCTATTCATTTTCTTCAGGCGAAGAGGACAAATTGATGAACGAAATTTAGAATGTTGGAGGTTTTTGTCAAGTTATTTTTCGTGTTCTCACGCGCGCGCGCGCGCACACACACACACACACACACACACACACACACACACACACACACACACACACACACACACACACACACACACACACACACACACACACACACACGAGAGCTTCAAGGCCAAGCATGTGTCTGGGGGGAAGTAATAAGTATAAGCAGTCAGCCCGCTCATTGCACCTTCTAATATCTTAAATCATGAGAATTCTTAGCCGTCTTTGTGCCTGGGTCAGCATGATTAAGCCCTCCGCCGACACGCACATCGCTCCTCTACACCCTCCACGTTATAACCTTCCCAAAGGCCACTCAAACTGGTTTGTATTTTTGGAACAGCCTCGTGTCACCTTTTCCGGGGTATTTAGACGTTCTATCTGCCATTTGTGAAAGGATTGATACCAGTTGATCTTTGATATTATTTCGTCTTATTTAGCACTTGGCAACTGCTAGTCTTATTTGCCACTGGTTCAAGTCTTTTTTTTTCTCAGCCCCAAC